GCTCCTTTCTAACCTTAAGGCTAATTCCTTTTTGCCATATTAGTTGCAGAAAAAGTCGGAGGCCTTGGAGTACCTCAAGGGCTACGTCAATCGTGTCAGAGTTGCTTGCGAGGAGCTAAGGGCTCAGGTGCAGGCTCGAGCTTTAGAGGAGATGAGCATCTCGGTTAAGGTCCCTGCCTTCGAGACCCAACTCAGCTTGACTCATGACAATGCCAAAGTGAAAGCGAATATGATTGGGAAATTTGAATCTGATCTCTCGAAGGTCAGAGCCGAGATAATTGATGCCTGGGCAGAAATGGCATTAAGCCGAACCAAGGCTGATCGTGAGTTGGCGATTCGTGTGAAAGATGCTGCTGATGCCCAAGTTGAACTGAAGCGAGCCCTCTACCGGGAGAAGAGGATCGAGGAATATGTTCGTTGTAGATCCCAGAGAAAGGTACTCGAGGAGGTCAGTGCAAGGGGCTTCGTTCTCTTAGAGGAATTGGCTCGAGCAAGGGCGAATGAGCGTGCCACTTGGTCACTTCTTGTTGATATTGCGGAGGGCGAATTTGATGAGCTGTATCCCTTTAGCGCAGAGTGTAGATTATGCCATTTTGTCGCTTTGTCTCTGATATACATAGGACATGCCTGTAGATAGAGAATGCGCCCTTTTCGCTCGTGTAATATATAAGAAAGAATTTGAAGCTTTATTTCTTCTATACATCTTTTTTCTCTTTTTTTTCTTTGTTGTTGCGTTCGACCAATCATGCCAGTTTTGGTGTTTGGTGAGGTCCTCATAGATCCGGGATGGATCGGACAGACCCGGGGGCTCTCAAGTGCGATCCTTGATGCGAGCAGGTGCTGGGGCCTCTATGCCTGGCTTGGCCGTTTAGGCTTAGTCTCCGAGTCACATTGTGACTCGTGCTTCAATTGGCCCTCAGGATCTTTCCTGCCTGCGTGGGAAGATGATGATGGCTTTTGTGCTTTGGGTCGAAGTGACCTTATGGGCGCTTGGTCTGGAGGTTTACTCGGCTAGAGACAGTGACATTAATGCCGCGCCCTTGGGCATATGGCAACTTTTGGGTCCAGTCTCTAAGTCGCGTTGCGATTCGAGCTGTAATGGACAAATAAATTTTCATGATTCTCCGACCGACAATAGTGGCATTTATGCCGTGCCCTTAGGCAATTGCAACTTTTGGGGCCAGTCTCCGAGTCGCTTTGCTATTCGAGCTATAATCGACCCATAAATTTCCATGATTCTCTTGTCGGTGATAGTGGCATTTATGCCGTACCCTTAGGCATATTACAGCTTTTGGGGCCAGTATTTGAGTCGCATTGCGACTCGAGCTGTAATCGACCCTTAAATTTCCATGATTCTCTGGTCGGCGATAGTGGCATTTATGCCGCTTAGTCGTTGAGATGATATGTGGCCTGGAGGCTTTGCATAATTAACTATTTTTGGATCCGGTCTCTGAATCGGGTTACGATTCGAGCTCATTTTAATCCTCAAGTTGCCAAGATTTTTAGCTGGCGACAATGGCTCTTACACTGTTTGGTCGTAGAGACCTTTCAATATGAGGCCAATAGGCTTATTTAGCTGGCGACAATGGCTCTTACACCGTTTTTGCCCGTGAGCTTTTTGTAGGCTTTGTTTCCGCTCGTTAAGGTGTTTTTATAGTATTTTTGCCTGACCCGTCATTGGTTCCATAGGAACCTTGATTTCAAGTCGTTGTCGGCGATGTTTCGAGCACCTCGTAAGGTTCATAGATCGTAGGTCAAGTAGATCGAAGCTCTTGCATTTTTGGAGACGACATTGTCGGAGCTCATTTTTGCCTATTGAGGGAAGCCTGTTTTAACCGGTTCTTTCCAAAGTATATTCGGTGTAGCAGGGGCCTACGATTTTTAGAGACAGTCGGGCATCCCCGAGTCGCATTATTTTGGTTGTATCGGCCATTTTAACCGTAGTCATATGCGTTTGGCCATAGCCATTTTTGATCCCTAGTGATAGTTTAGGCATCTACATTGAGGGTATGCCTTTTAGGGATTCTTACAAATGCGACGTATAGCCTAAACTTCGGGATTTTCATGCCTGTTGAGGTCTTACAGTATGTCATGCCTATTGAGGTCTTACAGTTTGCCATGCCTATTGAAGTCTTACAGTTTGTAGAATGGATCTGGTTACGCCGAGGCTGCCCGCTAGGGGTCTTACAGTTTCGAGTTTTCCAGTTTTATGGCGATTAACAACAGTCTCCGAGTCATCGAGTTTGTTTAAGCTTGAAGATAGCTTCTTGTGAGCTCGGAGTTGCCTTCCAGGGGCTTGATGAGCCCGGAGTTCCGACCCTGGGGTCATGCAAGTTGTCGAATCGTTAATGCTAAGTCTCTGAGTATATCAGGACTCATTTGATGGAGAAGAATTTGCCACGAGTATGTCGAAATCTCCTTTCCCGAAATACGAAATGCCGAAAAGGTATTATTTATTGCTTGGCGTAAATATATGCTGTAAATACATATTGTCCCGTTGCTGTGAGCTCGGCCCGCATGGGTGAGACTCCTCTGATTATCTGATCCATTTTCATGATTCCATTTTGGAACTTGGCCTGCCATTTATTGGCCCTTCCGAGGGGATGTTGCCCTTAAGAGGAGGTCATCGCACGTCGTCCGACTATAGAAGAAAGGACTGCCATCTTGTCAGATATCTTTCTTGGGGTTACATTGCTCCGCTAATAATCTTGCTGGAGGGACCTTTAAGTTGGAAACCCGGTCGAGGAAAAAGAACTCGGCGGGTTCTGCAGAGGCCTCGAATCTCCGAGTGGAGTTTAGAATTTCTGAATGCTTTGGCTGACTACCTACATGTAGGTTAATAAAAGTAAAGAAACAACAAAGGGGCAAAGTAGTTCTTCCCTGCTACGGGGCATGTAGGCGACGTTTTCGAGGTCTGGTATGTTTCTGCCATTTCGAGGTGCGAGGCCTAATATAGCCTTCCGCCACATTCAACCGGGCTTGGCCGAAAATGCAGTTCTGCTTACCCCTTGATCCCTTTGAGGGCGAAGGCATTGATGCCGGCGACGGGTCATATGGTGAGGGATTTCCTCTCATCGTGTGTAGCTTTTTGTCGAATGCCTTAGTCCCACCTTTGTCGGGGAGTTTCATCCCTTTGGCGGAGTGGGTTCGAAATCGCCTCTGGACGGTGTTCCCATTGTCATCCAAATAAAACGTCTGGGCTTTGCGGGCTCGGTGTTCCAGTCCAAGCTTAAGCGAACTGTATAGAGCGAGCGACCTTCCTGATTGTTGTGGCGATTGGTGTTTGGAATCCACCGAATATTTGAGGTGTGGGAATGAATTGGTTCGTTAGTCCGAACTGCCCTATTGGCTTTGGCCTGACGCCGGCGGTATAGTTGGTCGAACCACCTGCACTTATGAACACATGCTTTATTTGGAATAGGTTAAATGAGGGAGAGGGTTACCAACGCATGAATACGAGGCCGGGGCAAAGTCTCGGCCTTCCAATATAGTACATTCCTAATTGTGGTAAAGAATTTTATTGGTACAACTGTATAACAACCCAGTATGGACCTGTACCAACTTGTACAAATCTTATCCTTAGATATTTATGACTTTAAGGAATTCTCGCTCTTTCTTGAGTGTTATCGAAATTATACTGTCCTCGAGGCAGATCACGACAGGTCTCTGATTGGCACTTCGAGCTTCCGAACTCGAGCTCGGGGTATGATCAAGTCTTCGAAATCAAGCTCTCCGATTTAGACCGTATACAGATAGTCCCCGAATTTCTTAGAATGAAATGATGTGAAACGATTTGAATTTCTGAAGTCCTTCATGATGGCATCACTCTTATGATTTAAACGTTGAAATGACCGAAGCGTCCCATCGGTAATCTTCCCTAAAAAGCATTAAATGTACGTTAGAGCCGGTCGACCATCAATATTAACAAACCGTCACCACCTTCCTCTATATATATACTTGTTTTCCCTTCTCATTAAGAACTTTTCCACCATGAAACACCTATTTTCCTCTATACATTTTCTTTTCACCACAAATTTCTCCGCCGTATTAGCTCAAAACCTTGCCGGTTTATTCATTTCTTCCTTCTTTTTCTAAAGAGTCGATGGCAAAAACTTCCAAGTCCGTTCCTCAGAAAGAAGGAACCTCTACTTCCCATCTAGTCGGTGGTAAACCGTTGGCGCTTTACGAGATCGTACCAAGCAATTTTTGCTTAAAAAGGACTTTATAGTTGAGAACCCTCCTAACGTCCTCGGCCGTCGAGAGCATGTATCGAGGTACATAAGGTCAATTGAGAAAGAACACCTCGATGATGTGAGGAAAGAATATAAATGGGAAGAGAAGGTCGTTCTGCAAATACCTTCTCGTGAGGAGGACATCACAACTTACGTAGAGGGGTTCATGAGTGTGTATACATACCCCTTTACGTTGGGTCATCTCGATCCGCCCGTGCTTGAATTCTGCCAAAGATATCAAGTCACCTTGGGCAAGATTCATCCGTCCTTTTGGCGGACCGTAATGATAATGAGGTTCTTCATTGAAAAGGCCGGGCTCGAGTTCACCCTCAGCCACCTCATCCGATTATATTGACCTCAACATTTCCGAGGTTTAATCAAACTCCAACGCCGATCAACCAAGTCCTTCTTCGCCAATAATGACGAAGACAATGATCGAGGTTGGATGAGCCGGTTCATCCGGGTAAGGACCATCGATGTTATTCCTAAGGAGTTCCTACCATTCCCCGAGAAATGGACCTTCGAACGTGAGTGGAATTTTTGCTTTAGTTCTTTTCCATAAACTTTGCTAAACTTCGTATATTTATTCCTTTCCCTTTTTCGCAGCGGTCCCGGGGATGCCTAATGCGGTCCTCAACCTCGAGGACTGGGTTCGCAAACTAGCTGCTACTTCATCATACGATAAACACAAGTGGTAGGACTTATCGAAGGGCAAGTGGGAGGCGAAACACGACGGTACACGTTATAATGTTTCTTTCCTTATTAAGAATGTCTTTCTTCATGCGACCTAATTCCTCCATAGCAGGTATTGGTGAGTTCTTCGAGATGATGTCGTCTTCCGAGGAGGAAGTAGGATCTTCGGCTCCAAAGCCAAAGAAGGATAATAAGAGAAAAGGGTCCTCGAAGATCGAGGACACTCAAATCCAAGCAAAGACCGCTCGGAGCCGCAAGAAAAGTGCCATCATCAATGTGGATATTGACTCAGTCCACCACTTCATGGACGATGATGGTGACGAGATGGAGGGTTCAACATTAGTGACTCGAACTAGGAAATCTCCCTGGGCTATCAAACCTTCTGAGATCGGGGCCCTTAGCCTCGAGGAAGGAACTTTAAAAGAAAAGAGGGATGAAGGCCCTGCATCACTTGACGTGGTAACTTCTTCTCAAACTTCTGGACATACACCAAAGGGAGCGAGCTTCAAAGCTCCTCTCCCTGAATAGAGCACCTCGAATGATCTCCCCAAGGCCATGAACATCGGGTCATTCATCGTCATTTCCGGCCTTCTTCTAGGATGCCGTTAGGGATGCTCAGAACTTGAAGACGTCCAAGCTAGGTGGAGTCCCAAGTGAAAACAACCTTTGCCAGAGTTGTTTTGCTGGGGTCGATGAGGCCAACCCAGCAGATGCAAGCTCAATATTCGAGGAGGCTCAACGTCTTTGCTCAATTTTAAATTTTTAGTGGCACTGCAATTTCTCCGACGTCATACTTTCCTCTTTTGTCTAGTCAATCTTTCCTTTCTGTAGGTATTCGATAAAATTAAGACCGAGCTACATCATTGTGAAGCCGAGTTACGTAGAGCTTCGAATGAGGAAAAAACCCTTAGGCTTCTCCTTGACAAAAAGGAGGAAGAACTGAAGCATCTTCGACCAGAGTTGACCAAAGCTCGTGAATACGAGAATGAGTTAGAAAAGCAGGTAACTTTTGTTCTGAAAAAATACGGGCTACCTCTCCCGTCTTTGGAGGCTCATACTTCAATATCTCAACTACAACAAAAGCTAGATATGACTGGGCAGCTTCGGGGCGAGGTAGATCAAGTTCGAGCCGAGTGCAATAATTGGAAGGCGAAGATGGACACCCTCGTTGTGGATAAAAATGATGCACTGTCAAAGGTATCATCCCTCGAGGTTCAACTTCGGAATGCTCAAGGGAGCAACTTGGTTCAGGCTGGTAGAATAGCCGAGCTCGAGGATGGTGTTGCGAATGCCAAGGCCGAAGTTGTGGAAGCCCGAGCCGAAGCCAGAGAAATACAAACCAAGGACGACAGGATGGTGGACATCTAGTTGAAGGATGCTACCGATGCTCAGATGGAGTTGAGGGGGGCTTCCGACCGAGAGAAAGAAGCAATGACTATGCCCGACACCGATCCTGGAGGGAGACCCTCGAAGAGATCCATGCTAAGGGATTCGATCTTTCCGAGGAGATAGAGCATGCTAAGGTAGATGAGGCTGATGCCAAATTTGTCCTTTCCTCCGATGATGATGATCACGTTGAAGATGATGAAGAGGAGGGGGTTTCCAAAGAAGCTACCCCTAGGAAAGAGGCTGGTCCCAAGGGAGTTACAGGTCTGGGGGGGATGCCCCTCCGGTGTAGGTAGAATTTTTTCTATCTATTTTGTAATTTTTTGCTTTGTAAGACTCCTGTATAATATCTTTTTTGCGTATATAGAAAGGAAAGGAGTTTCCTTGATTGTTTGCCTTCAATTTTTCTTTGACGTTTTCTTGATTTTTGATGCTATAATCTCTGAGCGTTGATTCAAATTCGGGGTAGAGTAGAGCCTCAAGTTTTGTGTTTTGATCAATGATCGATAATAAATAAGTTTTAGCTTGGGACTTCAGAGTCTGAGTTGGGTAAGGTCTCGAGCACGGTGTGCTTCGGCCTTTAAACTCTTTAAATATTGACCCTTAGGCTTTTTAGGTTGGCCCTTAAGCTCTTTTAGGTTGGCCCTTAGGCTCTTTTAGATTGGCCCTTAGGCTCTTTTGGGTTGGCCCTTAGGCTCTTTATGTAGGGCTAGTTCGGCCTCTAAAATGGCTATAAATGTTTCCCTCTTTCCGGCTAAAGACTTAGTGAAAATTTTGGTATGCCTTAACATGTATTTTTTGTATTCATATTCATTCGATTTGGTTCACTTGATTGGAACCTCGTTTGTAATTTGATATGCAATGTTGATCGAATACCTCTTGAGGTTTTTTTGAAGGCTGATGTTATCGAAGCCTTCGTATTATTCGATGGCTAATTTTATCGAAGCCCCTTATAATTTGCTTTTTCTGAGGGTAGCTTGATTTAACCGGTTTTTCAAAGTATTTGAAGGCCTTTTAGTTTTATGGAGGAAGTCGGACGTCTCCGAGCCGCATTATTTTGGCCGTAGCCTTTTCAAATGACCGTAGTCTTTTATATGGCCGTAGCCTTTAGTCCCCGAGTGTGATGGCCTTGGCCTTAATATTAAGGGGATGCCTCTTCGAGGTCTTGTGAGCTCGAGTGTGCCTCTTTGAGGTCTAATAAGTTCGAGTGTTCGATGGATCGATATGTCGGTTGTCGATGACAGTCCCCGAGTATTCGGGTGCATTCGAGGTTTTGGCCGTTGAGCCGTTAAATGTGAAAATAGTAGACTTCTTTGAGGCACAAAGTGTTTTGATACAATAAGAATGTTTTTTCAAATAATTGATATATGCGTACATGTTTTGCCGCTGGGGGCTCGACTATTCTACATGGACACGGTTCATTTGACCGTTTGGCCCATTACAACATTCCCTTATCGAGGCCCTCCTTGGCATGAATTGCTTTCTTCGAGGATGCGTTCTCTGAGGGTGATGCCCCCAGTGTTCAAGGTTGATTGAAAAGAAGCCTTGAATACTTGTTGAATATTCCTTAGGTAGCATATAGGTATTGCCTCGTCAAAAACCGTGTCGTTAAAACCCCTTTGGGATAAAACCCGATCTAAGGGAAAAAGAGTGCCACACATGCTTTAAACCCAAAGTCTTCGAGCTGAAAGGTGCCTCGATGTTTCCAATTGAATATCTGCAAGGAGTTAGTTTTAAATACAAATAGAAAGGGCGAGAAGGTCATACCTCAGGAGTATTAGCGTTTGAGCAACGATACATTCCAATTGTTCGGTAGTTGCTCGCCATCCATTGTGCTAAGTTTGTAGAATCCTTTCCCTATAACTCCGAGGACACGGTAGTGTCCTTCCCAAGTGGGGCCTAGTTTCCCTTCATTTGGGTCTTGAGTGTTGAGAGTGACTTTCCTTAGGACTAAGTTCCTGACTCCGAAATATCGAAGGTTCGTCCTTCTGTTATAATACCTTTCGATCCTTTGTTTTCGTGCGACCATTCAAATTAGTGCGGCCTCACGTTTTTCATCTAGTAGTTCGAGAGAAGTGTTCATATCTTTGTGATTTGAGTCCTCGGTGGCATGCTGAAACCTGAATCTAGGTTCCCCGACTTCAACTGGGATTGTCACACCTCCTTTTTACCACTCCGCAGGGGATATTAAGGGAGGTTTTTCCAATTGAAGTGACAATTAAAACATGATTATTTTATTTAAAATTTAGAGTCACCACTTGGGATAATTTATGGTGTCCCAAGTCACCGGTTAAAATCCCGAATCGAGGAAGATTGACTCTATTTACAGTTTACGAACATAGAAATCCGGGTAAGGAATTCTATTAACCCAAGAGAAGGTGTTAGGCATTCCCAAGTTCCGTGGTTCTAGCACGGTCGCTCAACTGTTATTATTGGCCTAATTATCTGATTAATTACACATTTTAAACCTATGTGCATTTTATCCCTTTTAAAACCGCTTTTAATAATCCAATTGTTATGCAACTAATTATTTGATTACACGTTGCGAATCATGTCACGAGAACCGTACCCACAATCCACAACAAGTTTTATTTATTAACAAGGTTAAATTGTGGCCGAGTCACATAAATGTACCCCCATATTTTAGAAATCAAGCATCACAACTACGTCACGGGAATCATACCCGTAGCTATGACAATTATGTGATTCAATTGTATGAATGGCACGCGTCAGTTTTATTATAGGGAAAGCTGTTCCTAACGATCTAAGCAAGTCGTAGGCATGAATCAATAAATCAAAGAATTATATTCCAAATTGAAGTATGATTGAAACTATCCTCCCGCTGACATGAAAACTTATTTATTTTATACCTTTTTTTATTCCCAATCCCACTCAAAATTCCAAGGACTCAAACTTATATTTTAGTTCAAAAACTCACGCCACTACTAAATAACTCATTCACATACTTATGTATCTACTTAAAATGAATGAAAATCCTACTGTATTAACTTAAACTATTTAGCATGCTCAAAAATGTCAAATCAATGAGTACAAGAAGATAAGACAGTCCTTCAGGCGCGAAAAGCATGTTCAAGCATTAAGAGCAACTTAAATCTAACATGGAATCATTGTTCAGAAAAGCATAGAAGAAACAAAGATGAAGGGTAGACCTCAAATTAAGGATCTGACTTTTATTATTGTGAAACTCAACAACGAGCAGAACCGCGACAGAATCCAACAACGAACCTCGAATTGGCACCTCGGATCTGCTAATGGAAAGCTCGTCGGCTCGACTCGAATCCATGGTGGCATTTTCGGGCTGGACTTTGGTGGAGGTTTGTGTTGATTATATGTGGCTGGCAGTGATGCTTTTCTTACGATGGGTTTGTGATTATTTGGCAGGAGATTTGTAGCTGCTTTTCATTGAGCTTTTCTTACGATGGGTTTGTGATGCTTTTAAATGCTTTTCACTGAGCTTTTCATTGAGCTTTTAAGAGCTTTGTACATGGGGTCTCTGTTTGTGCATTAGCACCGAAGAATATGAAGGGCAGGGTCATTTTTGTTCTGTTCTGCGGCTGATGTCTTTAGGCGTTGAGAAGATGAAATTCAGGGATGGTCTTTGGGTGGAAAATGGANGAGGGTCCTCTATTGAAAATGACGCTCCTAGTTATGTGTATATAGGTCTAGGTTTTCTAAGGAAATTGTGTGATATATATATATATCTATGTGTCTATCGGGTCAGATCCCTGCCCCATTTTCTTTTGGTGCCCATTAAATATAATATGTATGAAAAATATATGTGAGTAATTAATGAACAATGTGATAAAAATATGATTGGAAAGATATTCAAGTGAGGTCAGTCACGTGAATTTGCTGGAGAGGATAAGGAGAAATTGGCTATGCGGACCTTTCAATTGGTCCTTTTCTGAGTTTTCTTTTGAAAAAAGTAAATAAATAAAGGAAGTGCCTAGATTAAAACTAGTAACTAAATATATTCATTAATCTTTGGAAAGGAAAAATTTTAAAAAAATCTTATAATTAGCATAAGAAATAAATAAATGTCATTGACCTATTTGTTAAAAGGTAAAAGAAACAAAAACTATTTTTGTATTTTTCAATTTTGCGATAAAAATAATGTAAAAGGGTCAAAATTAGTTGAAATAACTATATTAGTCCTAAACTAAATATTTACATGCTAAAATATGAAAAATCTTAGGGAGGGTCAAAAATCACATGTCTACAGCTGCCCCTCTTTGATTGGAAATACAAAGTATTTTCAGACAAAGAACGACTAGATAGGTTTTTTCACCCGACCCTTATTTGAAGAGACCAAAAGCTAAAAGAAAGGAGAATGTGACCGCATATCCTTGGCTATAAAGGAATCAGTCCATGTGTAGTTCAGAAGTAAGTGAGATAATGAAGTATACCGAGGTGGAGAGCTGATCGAGGTGCCATTCTGTTGAGGTCCCGGTCCGCGGTCCTGTTATTACATAAAAAAAATAAAAATAAAAAAGACTAGCTAAGCCTGTCAACTATGAGTTACAAGATTCCTATCTATACGTCTTCTGAAGCTTGATCTTGAGCCTTGAATGGTTATTCATGCAGACTTTGGATTTGAACCTTGACGCTTGCTAGTTGCAAGTGCTAGTTCATTCTTTTTCAGCTTTTCGGATCAAAATCGGACATACCATGCTTGTGACTTTAGCTATGTCTTGAGCAGCTCAAATCTTTTATCAGCTTCTGCATTTGGATTCACTTCTTGCCTTTTTTTCTGGATTGTGACTAACTTCCGTTGATCATCTCGGACTGTTGACTCGCTTCTTGCGGCGAGATTCTTTTGTTGCTGACTTGAATTGCATTCTGAAGTGAATTCCCTTATTCTCTAGGTGGCGCCTAATTGCCAACATTTGAACTGTATTCCCTTGTTCTCTAGGCGGGTACCTGGTTACCAAAACTTGAATTGTATTCCCTTTGTTACCTTAAACTGTTTTCCCTTGAAACCTGTGCTGTCTTCCTTTGAAACTTGAACTAATTTCCTTGTTCTCCAGGTGGGTGCCTGATTGCCAAAACTTGAACTGTATTCCCTTGCTCTCCAGGTGGGCGCCTGATTGCCAAAACTTGGACTGTATTCCCTTGCTCTCCAATGTGACGACCGGGCTGGTTGTCTTAAGAATTAATGTCCCGATTCCCTATTAACTGCTTTCCCCAAGTTTATTTCTGCTATTTTGATTTGCCGGGATATTTGGTTTTGAGTTTCGGAGAGTTTTGGGACACTTAGTCCCTAAATGAGAGCTTAAGTGTTGGAAAGTTGACCGTAGTCAGAGCAATGTGAAGATGGCCTCGAAATAGAAATATGATGGTTCTGTTAGCTCCTTTGGGCAATTTCGAGTTTAGGAGCATGATCAGATCGTGTTTTGGAGGTCCGTAGCTAATTTATGCTTGAAATGTCGAAA